TATCGTGGAGACAGAATCTTGTTCTGTCGCCCAGGCTGGAGTGCAGTGGCACAATCTCTGCTTACTGCAAACTCTGCCTCCCAGGCTCAAGCGATTCTCATGCCTCAGCCTTCCTAGTAGCTGGGACTACAGGTGTGCACCACCACATCTGGCTAATTTTTGTATTTTTAGTAGAGATGGGGTTTCACCGTCTTGTCCAGGCTAGTCTCGAACTCCTGAGCTCTGGCAATCCATCTGCTCCGGCCTCCAAAGTGTTAGGATTATAGGCATGAGCCACTGCGCCGGGCCTGAATCATTAAACTTTTTATTTTTAAGATGAGAGTCTTGATCTGTTGCCCAGACTGGAGTGTGGTAGCATGATCCTAACTCGCTGTAGTTTTGAACTCTTATGCTGAAGTGATCCTCCCACCTCAGTCTCCCCAGTACCTGGGACTACAGGTGTGCACTACCATGCCTGGCTAACTTTTTTTTTGTTTTTTTTTGTTTTTTTTTGGAGACAAAATCTCACTTTGTCCCCCAGGCTGACAGGATCTCCATTCACTATAACCTCCACCTCCCCGGTTCAAGTGATTCTCATGCCTCAGCCACCCAAGTAGCTGGGATTACAGGTGTGCACCACCATGCCTGGCTAACTTTTTGTATTTTTAGTAGATACAGGGTTTCTTCATGTTGGCCAGGCTGGTCTCAAACTCCTGACCTCAAGTGATCTGCCTGCCTTGTCCTCCCAAAGTGCTGGGATTACAGGTGTGAGTCACCACGCCCTACCTATTACACTTTGTAAAGATGATATGTATAACATTTATTTTAGTGTTGTATATAATTCTATGAAATCTAGAATTTGCAAATTATGTTGTAGTACACGTGGAATTCACTATTATAAACATGTTAGATTATTAAGATGAGTTAGTCTTGTACCCTAGGGAGATGTATTAATAGTATCAAAATGATTTGGATATAGTTCATCTGTATGACTCTCCATCAGGATGTGTTCAGCAGAGGTCTCTATCAATGTGCTCATGCATTTTGTGCTTTAATATTTAGATTATTAAGCAAATGTAGGCCGGGCATGATGGCTCATGCCTATAATCCCAGCACTTTGGGAGGCTGAGGCTGGCGGATCATGAGGTCAGGAATTCGAGACCAGCCTGGCCAACATTGCGGAATCCTGCCTCTACTAAAAATACAAAAATTAGCTGGACATGGTGGTCCGTGCCTGTAATCCTAGCTACCTGGGAGGCTGAGGCAGGAGAATCACTTGTAATCCTAGCTACCCGGGAGGCGGAGGTTGCAGTAAGCCTAGATCACGCCACTGCTTGCCAGCCTAGAAGACAGAGTGAAACTGTGTCTTAAAAAAAAAAATTCTTAAGCAACTTCTGTGAATCACTATTCTACACCCATTTCTGAAGTTCTCGTGCATTATTAGTTGCTTCCACAGGATGTGGTGAAATAGATGTTACTGCGGTATCACAGCAGAGGACATTGAATTGCCGTCAATCAACGAAGCTGACGGGTATTGAAACTAGTATATGATGCAGGTCCAAGGAAGGCACATAAAACTGTATTTATTCTTTGGGTCTCCATTTCTGTCCATTTAAAAAAATTATAATTTTATTATGAAGTTATGAAACATTCACAATTTTTCTGCCTGGTCAAGTCTATCACAACAGTGGTTCTCAGACCCCGGTGAGGGAGTCTGCACTGAGTTGATACCTCTGGAGCTTTTTAAAATATAGAGCCTAACTGTCACACCAGATGCACTGAATTAAAATCTCTGAGCCTAGGACCTGGTATGTCAATTTGAAAAGCTTTTCAGATGATTCTGATGTGCAGCTTTGATTAGGAACCACCAAATGGGAGCCAGCAGCACAAATCTCAGTTTCTCTTTTGAGTAATTTTTGGCCTGGCTATGGTTTCCACAGGTTCATTGCTGTGTACTGTTTTTACAGCTCATTATTTGTGGACTTGGAAAGATAGATGTTAATGACTGGAAGTTAAACACCCGGTTAAAACACTGTACACCAGATAGCAACATTGTCAAATGGTTCTGGAAAGCTGTGGAGTTTTTTGATGAAGAGCGACGAGCACGATTACTTCAGTTTGTGACAGGATCCTCTCGAGTGCCTCTGCAGGGCTTCAAAGCATTACAAGGTAACAGCCTGAGGGACAGGCAAGCTGGGTGTCAGGTGGGCCAAGGGCTGGGGGTGGGACTGTCAGTGTTGGGTCTGTGTAGATATTTTGTAAACCATGTGCTTAGAGATTCTCTTTTCACTTCTTACCTATAACTCTTACACTGTGATACCTTCTTCTCCTGACTTTCTCTTGTTCCCCTCCCAAGAGTCTTTTCTGCGGGCTTCTCTGATTGCAGTGAGTGCCGCATGCTAGAGACCATTGGAGATGACGCTCTGCCTTTTGTTTTCTGGTCACCTTACGTTTAATTCTGTTGCACATTACTGTAGGAGAAATTATTCACTTCCATGTTCACATCTCGACCTGGTGAAACCTTTACCTGCCTGGGATGCCTCTCCCCTCTACTTTTTCATTCTTTGCAGCATGAGTCACGGAAACCATGTTTTCAGTCAGAGTGTGGCATCGGTTACTGCATGGCATCGGACCAGTATTCCTTTTTTAAGAATGGTTTTCCATGGAATAGCTGGTTAACTTTGGGATGAGTTGGTAATATTGCTAATGAATGTGGCACTTCACTGGGTGGCATTTGCTTCCTTTACCTCTTAAGCACTTCCTTTTCAAAGCTGCTGGTGATGAGTAAGGACATCCAAAGCGAGACTGGTACATAATTGGACAGTGCTGCCCACAGCGCATGCGCTGAAATCCCTGAGGAGCACGTGCTTTCAGTTGTGCTGCCCTTCTCTGTAAGGAGAGCTCATCACCATCATACTGCCTAGATGCAGAAAGTGAAGTTGTATTTCTGCTACATGTATTCGTATGGGGTGTCTGTGCAAACTGAAGTGGATTTTATAGACTGTTCTTTTGCTCTCAGCCCAGTTTGAGTCGGGAAGTCTGAATTTGCATTTAGGTTCCTCATCTTTTTGAATGTGTGCTTTTACCTTGGATTTGCCTGATTACTTTTCTTCTCAAGCTTTTGGGATAATGATTTTCTATAAAAGATAGAAATTGGGAAAGGGATTTCAATCCTGAACTTTTTCTCAAATGGAAATGCTAATATATTAAGGAATCTAAGCCTTATCCAAGATTAATTCTGGGTTTCAAAACCCAGATTCTTTTCCTGTTGCCCTTTGGTAGTATAGATTTATCAGCATTCCTCTATCCCTACACCCTGTGGTTTATGTACCAGTTTTTTCTAAGATTTTTGGAGACTAATGCATGCACCTGCAGTGATTTGACCCAGTTTCCTTCATTTTCAGGTGCTGCAGGCCCGAGACTCTTCACCATACACCAGATTGATGCCTGCACTAACAACCTGCCGAAAGCCCACACTTGGTAAGGTATTTTTGTGGCTTTATTCCCCACTCCATGTACACAGGTGTTAGTTCCAAACAGATTTGACTTTTATTGTACTTACTAGTAAATGGGCCTTTAAGAGGAATGATAAACAACTTGTTTTAAGTGACTTAAAAGTTAAGATTATTTGCAAATTGGTAGGAAAACCCAAAAGTGGTCATCTCTGTTTTAGAGAAATAACAACTTTTTTTTCTTTTTTATACCATTAAAAGTGAACATGATAGCTAGAGAAATGCAACTTTTTAGTTTTCTGTGTGACAAAGAGTGATATGGCTATGTTGGTATACACTTGCTAGGCCAGCTTACTTACTTTGAATGAACTGTATAAAATTTGTTTTGCTTATTCACAGCTTCAATCGAATAGACATTCCGCCCTATGAAAGCTATGAAAAGCTCTATGAAAAGCTGCTAACAGCCATCGAAGAAACATGTGGATTTGCTGTGGAATGATGAGCTTCAAGGATTTACCCAGGACTCTATTTATACAACCCTGACTGACAGCCCCCTTTCAGCAGGATTTCAAAGAATGCTGAAATACAGGAAAACATCCCCCCCCCCTTTTTTTTTAATTCTAGGACACTGTGAGGGGAAAGGACAATTTTGAAATTCCTTTTCAAGGAAAAAAAAAAGGTCTTTATGCTTTGCCATGAGGCCACATTCAGCTGCTATTTAAACTTAATATCTTGAACCTAAAGAATGCTGACTTTTCCTACATTTCCAGAGTTAGGCAGTATTCTACACTTAAAGACTACTACTATTTTTATAAAAGGTAATCTATTCAAATCGCTTCAGATTTCAAGTCTCTCAAACATCAAGACAACTTCAGCAGTCGGTACAAGTCACATTTCATTTTGATTGAATCCATGATTTTGAATAGCTCCTGTACTTGCTCTTTGTAAAAAAAATAAAATTATTTTGAATTATTCTACCTTTGTAAACAATTGGCTAAAAGAATCATCTTTAAGAAATTAAGCCATTTTACATGTTGTGTTTTTCTATAGCAGAGCATTATATTTTGCATTGTATGTTCCAGCCTAGTGTAAGTGGGTCTTTTTTACAGTTTTCAAGAATGAATTTCCTGGAATACAGCTATATAATTTTGGTTGTCAAATTCCTAATGCAGCCATTTAGTCTAAACTTAGTCATTTATTTGCTACAATAAAATGTGTTCAGGGGCTCCCTGTTTTTAAGAGACTCTTTTAAAAAAACCCTCATGTTTTTATCTTGAATTGATACAATTAGGTATTTTGGACTTACTTTTAATCTTAAAATACTGCATTTTTATAGCTTCTCAGAGCATGTGGATGGAATGGGATTTTCATTATTTTGCTGGGTCAGCTTATCTTTATATATGCTATTTCTGTAAACCAAAGCCTCTGACAAGTGCACCTAATTTATATTGTATTTTAATTATAGTGTAAGTTTCCATTAACAAAACCATCCTAAAGTGTTAACTCCTCATAATTTTAATTGGCTAAAATAATGAAAAAGGAAGAATTTTGCTCTAAAGATTATTAATACGCTTAGAAAATCCTGCTTTACCTAACAGAATGAAGTGGGGTTAAGGGGGTGGTAGTATGGGGATGTGATTACTAAAGAAATAGTGATTCTAGGCCGGGCGCGGTGGCTCACGCTTGTAATCCCAGCACTTTAGGAGGCCGAGACGGGTGGATCACGAGGTCAAGAGATCGAGACCATCCTGGTCAACATGGTGAAACCCCGTCTCTACTAAAAATACAAAAATTAGCTGGGCATGGTGGCGCACGCCTGTAGGCCCAGCTACTCGGGAGGCTGAGGCAGGAGAATTGCTTGAACCCAGGAGGCGGAGGTTGCGGTGAGCCGAGATCGCGCCATTGCACTCCAGCCTGGGTAACAAGAGCGAAACTCCGTCTCAAAAAAAAAAAAAAAGAAAAAGAAAAAAAGAAATAGTGATTCTAACTCTATGATACAAATTACTTTGAAACTGAATAGCTCATTTTGGAAGTAAGGGAATCCCACTTCCCTTGGTGTTGAAGATCTGCATCTGATTTTGAAATGTCCAGATTTAGCTTTCAAGGTGTGTGGCATGTTGTATGATCCAGAAGCAACCAAAACTCTGGGGTGAGGGAGTGAAAGAATCTGAAATCACAGGTAGATTTTTAAATTCAACCATCAAAAATATGCTCCATTTGGTTTTTTTTTTACAAAATTGATGTGAAAGAAGCAAAGTTTTTTTCTCTTTTTTTTCCAGATGAAGAAATAAGCAAATTTTTAATGAGATTATTAAGCTGCAGAATTTAAAGTTATCAAGTAAATTGGTATTCTGTGTTCTGTGATTGAGTGGGTTTCAGTCTGTGTTCTTGGAGCCCAAGGGTTCCTCAGGGGTGCCTCAGGAGTGGTGGTTGCAGAGAAGAGGGGCAGAGAGAGGGAGCAAGGGGGCAGGCCTCGCTGGTATTCGAGCAGGGGCCTCAGGCTCCATATCCCCAGCCCTTTACCCAGAACAGTTCGTTTTTCTCTTTTATATATTGAAATTTCAAGTAAGCTTTCATGGGGTGCAGCAGAGCGGGGAGGAATAGGTGGGATAAAAGAAGGGGAGATTTTGCTGCGTTAAGAAGTTGAGAACTACTTATGTAGTAAAGTATTTCAATGTGTTTCATTGGCCAAATCAACTGTCACAAGTAAGCTAGTCACAGTTATAACTGTGCAGTGGTATATGCTTATGCCTACCTTTTTCCTTTCAAACAATTTGGTTTTTTCACATTGCATTCTGAGTACTGAAGAACATTTTGAAATGTATGGAAGTGGTGTCTACGTTCTTTGATGATCAGTAATTTTCAGCTGTCATGCTAGTACCTTGTTGGTTGCAGGCTCATCTTGCTTTTATATTAAAGCACTAGTGCAGTTTATAATTGTGCCTACTTCTAAAATCTTTCAGTAAAAAATAAGTACATAATGGATACTTTATAGATATCATAACTGACAGGGATGCAGTAATAATGAAATGCTACTATCACTTATTTTAATATACAATTTTATAAAGCAGGCAAATACCATTGCTTTTTGAGTGCCTTTTTAACTTTATACTAATGATTTAATAGAGCTTTAAAAAAAAAATTGGCCGGGCTCGGTGGCTCGAGCCTGTAATCTCAGCACTTTGGGAGGCTAAGGCGGTTTGATCACTTGAGGGTCAGGAGTTCAAGACCAGCCTGGCCAACATGGTGAAACCCCATGTCTACTAAAAACATGAAATTAGCTGGGTGTGGTGACGCACTCCTGTAATCCCAGCTGCTTAGGCGGCTGAGGCAGGAGAATTGCTTGAATCCTGGAGGCAGAGCTTGCAGTGAGCCGAGATTGCACCACTGCACTCCAGCCTGGGCGACAAGAGCGAGACTCCGTTTCAAAAAAAATAAATTACTCTCTATAACTGTCTGTGGTAGCACCAACACATATAAAAACATGATTTAATTTCCATTTCAAAGTTACATTACCTGATTGCTTCCAAATAGGTGCTAAGCAAAACCCCCCAATCTGCCATTGAACCATGGACTTGCACCTCATGTTTAATGTGAATATTTATTTCCATGTCCCTCTTAACTGGCTTTTTCTTCTCTTCCTTCTAGCTGTATTATTATTTTAGATATGTGGTATCTGTTTTCATACTCTTGCCTTTCCATCATGAATGCTTAGTTATGAACAGAGATTACTTTGTAGAGCTCATAGGCAGTACAGAGAGGTGAGTTTTGTCTCCAAAGGCCTTGTATCTTGGTGTAGGTTTTAAATAGCGCTGTGTATAGTGTACATTTTGTTTTGCACAGTTTGTTGCCCTGAATGGGTTTTTACCAAGCCTTTATTCTTTCGTGTATTTACAGTCCGGAGCACAAGATTCTCTTCTTTTGAATACAGTGTAATTCACTTTACAACACTAAATCTGGGCTTTGAACTTCCAGTGCATTGGACGGATGCATTGTCAGGAGTTAGAGGGTGTTCTAGCCATCCTTAGTTTGGTAGAGCAGCTCCTTCTGCTTGTTTCTAAGCGTACAGTCAACGGGTGCCATTTGTGGTATTTAACATTATGTTAGGATGATGATTGTTCCAAATGCTGGGTTGTTTTATTTCTAGATGTAATTAGTTCACTTTATGTAATATTATTCCTTCTCTCAAACTGACTTTAAAAACAAAGTTTTATCATTTTCATTGTATTTGTATTTATTACAGAGTGTTTTAGCTTTGATATCCTTTGTATTTTCACTTATTTGTTACATGAGCTTTATCGATAACATCTGTATAAATGGTTTTTAAAAATTAACTATGTATGTGCCCATGCCGAAGTCGAGCAATAAAATCAATGCTGTTTGCACTGTCACAGCATCAACATTTTTAAAGAATACTGAGTTTGAAATTAATTGTTTTGAAAACATTTATGATTGGCTCTATGGAGGGTGACATGAGTCACAAAATGAAAAGTTCAGGAACACATGCCATCCTTAGTTGATGCCTCTGTAATGCTGCAGAGCTTAGGCCTCCTGTCTCCAGGCAGAGCATGGAAGGTGCCCGTTTTCCCTGGCGTGGTGACTGCTTAGTTGGCAGTAGCTGTTTGGGGCTATGCATATGTGGATTTCTGAGGGTGGTCAGGGGTTAGTGGGGAAGAGCGTCTTGGTCCTGTCACCAGTCTGCGACCATATTTGTTATAATACCATCTCTGCTCTGGAGGGCAGGGCTATGATAGGGGCTCATATTTGCCAGCCCTACCTTGGCATATTGTGCAGTAAAATTCTCAAAATTTTTCTAGAAGCCGTGGATTTTAAGGTTTATAGTGCACTACTCTAAAGTCCAGCTAACTCCATGGATGGAAAAGGAATGAATATGGTCTATGTAAATCTCTACACAGCACAGGGTACAACAGAAGGAACACCTGGGAAATGTGTAAGTAGTAGCAGTGTATTAAAAGTTCAAAAGGTGAGCATGCTGTTCTTTTATATTCTCTTGAAATTTTTCTGTTTTTTTTGTTTTACTTTGTCCTTCAGTGCTGTGTTTACTAGTTTTATTTAAAATTTATAAAGTTTTAGTACATTAAAGATTTTTGGCCAGGCGTGGTGGCTCCTTCCTATAATCCCAGCACTCTGGGAGGCTGAGGTAGGTGGATTAAAAGGTCAGTTCGAGACCAGCCTGGCCAACATGGTAAAACCCTGCCTCTACTAAAAATAAAAAATTAGCCAGGTGTGGTGGCATGTGCCAGTAATCCCAGCTACTTGGGAGGCAGTGAGCCATGACTGTGCCACTGTACTCCAATCTGGGCAACAGACTGAGACTCTGTCTCAAAAACAATTTTTAATTTTTTTAGTATTATAATAGTCTACAAATTATCCACAAGTTTGACTAATGATTGGAAGTTTAACCTGAAAAACATTACAAAACCTCTATTGTAATGAAGGTTAACCACGTTACCCACTATATTGATTTGTCTTTTATATCCCATGTATTTACAATATATGTGTATACAATAGGATAGATACAACAGAACAAGATCCTAGTAACAGGATAGAGGAGGTAATTAGGAAAGTGTAACATTGCTATGTTAACACTTGTAGCAAACTAGACAGACCAGATTTTTTTTTTTTTTGAGATGGAGTCTTACTCTGTCGCCAGGCTGGAGTGCAGCGGCACGATCTTAGCTCACTGTAACCTCCCAACTCCCTGGTTAAAGTGATTCTCCTGCCTCAGCCTCCCGAGCAGCTGGGATTACAGGCACGCACCACCACACTCAGCTATTTTTTCTATTTTTTGTAGAGCTGGGGTTTCACCATGTTGCCACAATGGTCTCGATCTCCTGACCTCATGATCTGCCTGCCTTGGCCTCCTAAAAAAGTGCTGGGATTACAGGCGTGAGCCACCGCACCAGCCATAGACCAGATTTTAAAGTTAAATTTTATTTAAAAGGTGTCTGCCCTAAATGTGATTTGTCCTCTCTTCATTCAACAAATACTTACTGTGCTCCTACTACATGCCAGGCTCTGTACTAGCTGCTAGCCATATAGCTTTGCATGGTGGTTAGGAAATGAACTTCCAAAGTAATGCTTCTAGCCTGTGTCTCACTGTAGGCCAAGTTCAAACTTAAGTATTTAAAACTCAATTTCTGTACAGCAAAGCAGTCAGTCATGATGGGAGCACATGAGTAAATAACCCAGCACAGCAAGGCACTGAATCCCAGCCTTGGG